TAAATGAACTGTCAAACTTTGTATGGAAATCTATTTAACCGAAGTTTATNTTAACAGTTGATAAACTTGATAAAGTGATCAATATATCATTTTGATAAATGAACTGTCAAACTTTGTATGGAAATCTATTTAACCGAAGTTTATAACTTCATCAATCGATTTTGGTGGATAAACGTATAAATTTCAGCAAAATTCAACCCTGACAGACTGCCAGGAGGTCGTAACGTAAACGTAACTAGCCAGATAAGTTAAATAATAAACAATTTTGTGATATTATTTACCAAGGTGCGTTCATGAGAGAATGCGGATAAATTAAGCATTTACCCCTTTATCACTTTAGATGATGATCTCTATTAAGATTTTTGTGTTGGAATCGATTGGTCGTCGATTGTTCTTTACTGTTTGTCCATTTTTAACGCTTGTTCTTTAGCTACACAGTAATAATTAATTTTTAAATTTTTACCTTACGTAGCGTTCCAGAACGTCTATGATTTGCAGGTTTTGCAGCTCTTAGTCCAAAGTCGAAAGGCGAAAACAGCTGTTCCTGTGAAACCTGCAAATCCTGCAAATCCCGTTTTATATAAANCTGTTAATCCCTAAAAAGGAGCAAAAGCCTTCAATAAATTCATCATTTAAAGATTTTTCATTAACGTTATGGGTTATGGACCCGACCGATATTAACACTTTATTAGTATAAATGTTAGGACCCTTCATCAAAAGTAATTAACAGTTGATAAACTTGATAAAGTGATAAATATATCATTTTGATAAATGAACTGTCAAACTTTGTATGGAAATCTATTTAACCGAAGTTTATAACTTCATCAATCGATTTTGGTGGATAAACGTATAAATTTCAGCAAAATTCAACCCTGACAGACTGCCAGGAGGTCGTAACGTAAACGTAACTAGCCAGATAAGTTAAATAATAAACAATTTTGTGATATTATTTACCAAGGTGCGTTCATGAGAGAATGCGGATAAATTAAGCATTTACCCCTTTATCACTTTAGATGATGATCTCTATTAAGATTTTTGTGTTGGAATCGATTGGTCGTCGATTGTTCTTTACTGTTTGTCCATTTTTAACGCTTGTTCTTTAGCTACACAGTAATAATTAATTTTTAAATTTTTACCTTACGTAGCGTTCCAGAACGTCTATGATTTGCAGGTTTTGCAGCTCTTAGTCCAAAGTCGAAAGGCGAAAACAGCTGTTCCTGTGAAACCTGCAAATCCTGCAAATCCCGTTTTATATAAAAAAATTTGAAAAAATCGCCGCTTATATTCTATTAATTTATTTCAATTTCGTAATCATTTTCGTCTACATTTTGAAGTTTCGGGGATCGTAGAGATTCCCCGCATAATTCACAAAACTTTCAAAGTTTACGTAAGTTATACGAAGACGAATGAAGAAGAATTGTGACAAGTTAACAAGTTCGATTTGTAAATGTAACTCTCGAGTGCAGGACTGTAAAACGTTTTTTTTTTTTTCAAATTTGATATTTAAATCTAAAGTTTAAAGAGAACAAAGTTAAATAAGAAAATAAAAAGATTAGAAAACTAACGTCTTTATGGTTTTTTGAATTTATTAAATAAAATCATTTAATAATGTTAACGTAACATACATACAAGTAGATTCATTTTTAGTTTTGGGGTAGGGTCGAGAGATACCGTACACGTAAGCAGCGTTGCCGTTTTGGTCCAATTGGACCAAAATTGGTACCTTCATGCTCCGTTGGTAGCTTGGTTGGTTTGATGAAGCTTTTGGTAGGCAAAAATGTTTTGAAAATACAACCAAATTGAACATTGTTCGCTCAATTTAAGTTTACACGTTCAAAACACTGCTTTCATTTTGCTTGCACGTATAAGATTTCTTGATTTTTTTTCCATATTTTATTAAGCAGACAATTTTCTGCAAACAAAAACTCACTTCCCAAGGTATGGCCGATTAGCTGTTGAAATTATCGAGAAATTACCCATCGTCTTGAAAGAAAAATTGGTGATAGGCAATTTGCAAAGTGTGAGTGTATTGGTAAAAAAGTGTGAGTGCATGCAAATTGAATCAAATTTGGAAATTTTTTTATTGAAATTTATAAAATGTCTGCTTAGGTTTTTTCACACACAAAAAAAAAATTTTGATATGAATTGAATCAATCTCATAGATATTAACATATTGTGCAATAGCTTAATTATTTTATTTAATGGCCCGAATTTATTGTGTTTAATCTTAAAGCTTGGTGTGAATAACTAACCAATACCGTAAACAATATTATGTGTAGTTTTAGTTTTTACTGCTAAGTTGTGTAGCTAAAAACCCCGCAAACTCGAGAAATCTCGTTTTAATTATGAAAAAAACTTGGAAGTTTGGAAACTGATTAGGTAGGCGTTTTGGTACCTAAAAATATTCTTAAGTGGCAACGCTGCACGTAAGCACATATGCCATTATCCGTTGCATTTTAAAGTAAAATTGCATTCTTGTTTGGCACATATTTTCAATACGTATGTTTATCATGCACTAGATTTATTTGGTTTCATCTAAGAAGACAAAAATATTTAAACCCACTTACTGTGAAAGAAATTCCCATCTTGAAATTCCCTAATTTATTTTTAAATATTAACAATATGGTAACGCTACTAGCAACATGAATAAATTGTGAAGCTTCAAAAATCTCAGTATCCGTCAAAAAGTTATTTATTGAAACTACTACCTTCTTTTTATCATGGGCATACCCAAACAATTCTAAAAAATCTGTTTAAAATTTTTTTTCAGCATTTTTTAAAATTAAAATTTTTGAAATTTTAATTTACATGGTTCTTTGATTTTTTTCAGCGTTTCTTTAAGAGATAAAAAAAACTGGAATGATTAACTAATTTGTCAGAAACTATCAGTCCTATCGGAAAGTGATATATATATGGTTTATGGAGAATTTTTTAGCTTTGATTTGACGTACCTGTCTCATTTTATGATTATTAAATTGGTTCGTAAGATATACGTGTTTAAGTGGAACCACTTCTTGTTTTAAACTGAATAACAGTAAATTGCAAATATCTCGAAAACGTATCCATAGAAAAAAAAAAATAACTCGATTTTCGGAATCACCGAGCAGTTCTACATAAAAATCGGGTAGTGGCGTCTGGAGAACAAAAACCAAACAAAAATTTATGATCCAGTGTTCTGATCTTTCACCCAAATAACATGTAAAAAACCGACTGGGGTTTGTGCAGGAAAAGATCCTTTTTGCGTTACCGTACACTTCTACATCTATTCTCCTTTTACTCTCACTTGAGAGAGTAAAATTGTAGTTTGACAGTTCCACAGGTTTTTGCCCGAAGAATACTGGAACAAACTAAGTATTTCTTACCTATTTGCAAGTTTTCGATGATTTGTCGCTTACGATAAAATCGCAATTATGGTCGTTATGTATCGAATGTACTTTCAACTAATAAAAGGGCTGAACAAGGACATTTGTACCTACTTTTCCATCACTCGTTCTCGGTTCATCTCACTATCATCTTACGAAACTCTTTGTCGATTACCTGTCATAAGCATGTGAGTGAGAAATTTAAAATGGAGTCAAAGCACTGGTTAACTTTAACAGGCAGTCTAGAAAACGGCTCTAAAGGTCTTTACTTATACTTACATTTTGAGCAAAAAGTAAAACACAATTTTTCGATAATATTTCATGTATGTATGTATGTATTGTATATTTGCTTAATATTCCGCTTCATGCATTGCTGTATTCTACATATAATTTGCTCAGCTTCATAAATAATCAGGCTGGTTCTGCAAATTCACTTCCGAGTGAATTTCAATAAACTTCGCTTTGAATTCATATTGGCAGGGGTTGAGATTCACTTGGAAGTGAATTACAGAACCTGCCTGTATAACTATTAGCTAAAATTTGAAACCATTTATTTTAAGTTACATAAAATAATAAATAATAATAAATTATTGTTTGTTAATTGTTAAAACTTACGCGCAAAGACATTTATGTAGAAGAAACTAAAATTTTACAATTATTTCTAAGTATCTATGTATGTATGTTGGTATGGTATGTATCTAGTATATGTAATTATTGTAAGCACTTGATACGTTAGTTTAGATAATATTTTTTTTGTATGCAAGCATACATATGCATATTATATACGAAATTAAGTAAATAATTATTTAATTGTTTAAATTTAATTTTTTTCAATTAAATTTTAACCGAATAGAAAAGGCAATCGTTTCAGCATTTAGGAATTATGAGTGATCTGTTTCCTTATGAATGGTGTAATAAATATACTACCTTATAAATACATACGTATGTATGTATGGTTGTATGCATCTTTGTGTCGTTAGAAAGATAGTCGGCCAGCGATGTAGGGGCATTAGGCATTAGTCACTTGACTCACACATTTGAAATTTTTCCCTACATCTAGCTGGCTGTATGTATGTATATACATATGAGGTGCTTCAAAAATCGAAGCATAAAGTGTAGAAAGTTAGATTTTAATTTGTTGTTATTTTAAATACTTTGTTTCGCGGTTTTTGTTTTTATCATTATTTTCTTCTTTTTTTTTGTAAATTTCATGCAGTTTGGCGCTTTAATTTGAATAAACATCATATGAATACGTTTGGGGGCGTGCACTTACATATGTATTTAATTAGATGTGGTTTGCGTTGTTTTTAATTGTTTAATTGCTGTTAGCTACGCCTTTAACGGCTTAATGTGAGCTTTGCTGATTTGTGTTTTATTTATGCAAAAAATTAATTATCAAGGTCCGTAACGGTTATAATATTTTTAATAAAAATCAAAGTTTAACCGTTAAAATTGGATATCTATTTTCCTGATCAAATTTGTGATTTTTATTGGATTTTTATTTTTTGATCAGTTTTTCATATGCGATCCAAAATTGGCCGATTTCAGAAAATAACGATAAAATTTGTTTAAAGAAACTAAAATTCAAGTTTAACTATTATCGGAAAAGTTAACATCAATACTTAATGACGGTCTAACGGTCCCTGTTAATTAAACAGGCCTGCGAGATAGAGTTTTTAAAAGGGGTAGGGCTGATTGTTGTAAACTATTTTGCGCTGAAAACGAATCTGACCTTGAAAATGCTCCATCATATCAAGATTTTTGTAAATTTTAGGTTAAATGACCACAATATGGAAATTTATGCATTTTTTACGGGTATGGATTCTTTTTTTTTAATTTTCCACAAAAACATCGCATCATTCTACAAGTAAAAAAATATTAAGAACAGTCAAAAACTTGCATAACTAAAAGTCTCATACTGAAAATTGTATATTTATTTATTATTGACTGATTTGGCAAAATGAATTTTAAAGCTACAAAGTGACACTACGTTTGCGATGTTTTTGTGGACACTTTAACCTAAAATTACCAAAAATCTTTATATGATGGAGCATTTTCAAGGTCAGATTCGTTTTCAGTGCAAAAATCTCCGAGAATCACCTGGAAACTGGAAAAAAGTGAAATTTCACAGGCCTATGTTATATGTGCAATCTGTACATATTTGATAATAGTGTATATTTGTATATATATTTTTAAGCAGTTATTTATGTTTGTTTATATTTGTATTTTCGTTTTTAAGTAAATGCATTTGGCCGTCGAAAACTAAAGTTCGTTTCGTTACTAAGGTGTCCTTGAAAAACCATAAAAACCGAACAAAGCGACTTATAAAATCAAACAGAAAACTGCATGTAATATTTCGTCCTTCCCCCTTCTAGTCATACTGTTCAAAACCGATCCTGTAGCCCAATAAAAAATGCCGTTACAAAATAGTACTCCCGTTCCGGTGTAGTGATTTTTGTTAAATAACTATAGAACAAATAGGTACACTTTAAGTGAAAATTGAATTGAATTGCAGTGATTTGTACTGCAGCTAAAACTTTGGTTGAGAATGGGCAAATGGAACTTTGAAGACGTAACATTAGATCATTTTCGAAACTAGCCCACTTCGAAAAAGGTTAAAATTAGACTTAAGAAATGGAAACTATAAAATCCAGAAAAAAGATTATTACAAAAAAATAAAGAGATAAAATTTCTTGTTCAGTGTTGAAAAATAAGACGTAGAGAGGATTTTATAAACCAGCACGTGGACTTCTTAGCAGTAAAAGGTACACAAATTACGAAACTTGAAATATTCGGCCCTAACNCAATTTCTTGTTCAGTGTTGAAAAATAAGACGTAGAGAGGATTTTATAAACGTAGCAGTAAAAGGTACACAAATTACGAAACTTGAAATATTCGGCCCTAACTTTCAATGAATTGGCAGCTGGGGTGAACATTAAAATGTCAAAAAGGAGTCACACTCCCAGTAATTTGTATAGCACACCCTTTTGATGCTCTGTATGTACAGTTTCCCTCTTATTTATTTGATATTCATAATTTTTTTTTATAAAAATGTAGCATATCACGTGTAAATCAGATTTTAAAATTTTATAAAAATTTAAAAACATGTCAACAAAGGGGTGTTCTATCTTAATGACATTAAACAAAAAATGAATATTAAACAAACAAAAGGAAAACTGTAAAAAGTGTGGATCAATATAGTGTGCTATTCTAATGGCTGGGTGTGTAAGAAAAAAACTCTCAATTTATTTTCCATACCACGAAATTTGCCTTTAATGGAGTTACATTTTAAAGTCTGTTAATAATCTTTCCGAGTTCAATAAAATACTTTCCATCTTAATTTTATATTTTTCGTCCAAAAAAATTTTTTTTGCATCATTTTGGTCATTTGCAGACAATTTGGTCAACTAAAAATTATTTACGACATGACTTCTGCTATAAATTATTTATGATTTCATAGTTCTTATAGTTCTAAATAAGTAAAGTCTAAACTGAACCTTTTCGAAATCGTTCCGTTTCGAAACATTCTCATCCAAATTTCGAGTTTCAAAGTTTAGATTCTTCGTTACCGGTACTTGCAAGTAAATACTCGATACTTTTTCTCCAAAGCAAGTACTTTTTTTACTCAATGCCTTTTCGAGTTTGGTACTTGCTATATTTGCTACGTGGCAACGCTTAACTTATCGTTCATCATAAACACCTTCCATCATGTCAAAGTATGTCATGTAAATTTAAATGTTGCCGTTATTTTTTCGTGTTTACTTTCCTTGTTGCTTCGTCTTTTATTGATTTGGAATATTTGAGATTTTGCAATTTATAATTAGAATTTTTTACTCAATACTTAAATATACGCGATTCCTTTTATCGATATTTATTAAGTACTCGATACTTTGTCCCGATACCAGAAACAAGTAAAAGTATCGATACCAAGGGGGTATCGAATGGTCAATATATACGTACTTATGGAACGCAAATCACCGCAATATAATGAGGTTATTAATATCATGTTTTATAGCGGCATTTTTTTTTTATTGGGTCGACCAGATCGGTTTGAAAACAGATTGACTTTGTTCGTTTGTGTTTTTGACGGGCAGCTTAGCTGATGTGCTATAGTTACGAAATACACTTTACATTGTTTCGTATTTTGTGCATTGTAAATTTGCGATTTATTTCTTGAGCGCATGTGGCGATCTCGTTTTAAGTAATTGCAGATGTACTTATGTATGTACATATTTTTCTAATATATACATATGTATGTACACATGCATGTAAAAACTACAAAGGAGTGAAAATGGTCTGCGCTGACACCGTCACTTATGACGGTTTTTTTTTTACTGATAATGTTGCACCTTAAAAATTGTTACCGACATATAGTCGACAATGCCACAGAAGTCATGCAGGTGTACTCCATCACTCCTTCAAAATCTATCAAAGGTCTAGAACAGACAATGTATTGCAGCGGTCACTTATAAAAAAAAAGAAACATTGCAAGACACCAATGGCCAGTCTATTATATTCACCGAATTGAGCAAGTGGACTGGCACTTTAGCACAAGAGCAGACTAGCTCAAGCAACGACTGTTGCCACCCCTAATGTCTTGCAGTGAGCTACTCTGATCAAACAAACATTTCTATAAAAAGTAATGAAAGAATTGTATATAAGAGGAGCGCAGAGTAGCTGTAAGACACTTAAATGACTGAAGTACATAGCATGACACTACGGGCTATCGCAGCCAGCAAAAAATCCGAAAACCGATCCGAAAATGACAAAAAAGTCGATGAACTGCGGATTTTTGTGCGTTTACTGATTTTATTTCCGGATACTTTGACGAACCGTTTTCCCACTAAAGTGTGCGGCAGAAACATATGTACAGACAACAGTATGTGAAACGGATATGTTTTCGGCTGTTTTTTCTGAAATTTGTCAGATAAAATTTTTCTGTATGCGTTTACGGATGCGGAAATTCAACTAAACTGCACTGGTGGCAAAATTTACGTTTCTTTGCTGGCTGGGATGTTTTGCAAGCGCTAAATTGCTTATGTCTCAAAATTTTTCGAAAAGTCGAAATTTATGTGCAAAAATATTTGTTTCGCTCAAAATGCGAACATGCAGATGAGGTTATGTTTATTTTTCAAACTATTTTCGACAGCTAATTGTTACACAAATTGGCGCGTGTTCGTTTTGTACATTTTCATCAATTTTGGCAAATTTGTGTACACTTTATGAGGGTAAAAGCCTGATTATGGCAACTTAGCTTAACTTAACGGAACGTAGAACTTAGAAAATCAATCTGAAACAGATTCGGCGTTACGTTAAGTTTCGGCTGTTCAATTATAAAGGTGTTCTTACACGATATGTATTTGCATGTGTACATGCCACTTTTTACATATGGAAATGCCAACATATCGTATAAAGGCAAATAAGATTTATTTCTGTACAAAGCAGATGCACATACATGCGAAATAGAAATGTTTCTATTTTCAACTGAGACTCAGATGGAATCATTTGAGTTTTGTTTATTTAGTTTTCAAAGAGCGTATTTTTAAATAGTTAAATGAAGACTGTGAATTTGACAGACATACGCAATTATATACATATATATTGAAAAAGTCACATTTACAAATACATATCGTGTCAGAACATCTTAAGCAACATCCATTTAAGAGAATGTTTAAGTGAGAGCCTGTAAGTTCCGTTACGTTGCCATAATCAGACCATAAGTTGTTTCAACGACACACCCTATTTGATATTTCATAAGCACTCTCTCAATCCGATTTTTGTGGCCTTCGTTGCTATTTGGGTGTTTACTTGATAAAGCCGAATATTAAAGTTAAATAAAATGAATTGTGTTTTTTTTATTACATATCGCTCATTAACTGCAATAGCATCATAACTCGAGAAAACCGGCTTTAAAGTAAATAAAAAATAAAAGAACACTATTGAATTAAATCAACGATGTGTACATATGTGTGGTCCTTTGTGTGTGTCAATCCTGTTAAGGGCTAATGTCTCTAATTCTTGTGTAATCCGGATGAAGTGTTTTATTAAGTTGTGTCGTTAGGTAATACTGGCAACCCGAGGCCACGCAGAGATCCTTTTATAAAAAATCTTGAAGGAAGTTTGTTCACCTAGCTTGTTCCACACGATACACTGTGCATCGATATGATAATAACTTTTCTAAACATTGAACCTTTAGTGTTTTACATAGTCAAACTTTGTTCGGTCTTCTATTAATGTTATATGGAATTATTAGATAAAAATTGTAGGGAATTTTGTGGTTAACCATTTTTAAATGCGTAGGAAAAACTGGGGATTTTATTTTTGTTGAGTGGGGATTTTTCAAAAAAATATGTATGTACCACCACTGGTATGTACTGCAATCTACTTCCGCCGTCCATTGCTCTATCCACATCCCTCTCAAACGCCGCTAAATAAACGTTGAAAGTTTGCTAATTGATTTCGAAATTGCTTTTCGTTCGTTTTAAATGTGTCTTCGCATATCCATGTATGCCTCGTGCATTTCGCATGCCATGCTGGCAGTAAGAAATGATTTCGCCTGGAAGTACCTCAATAGTGGGCGACATCTACGCGCTCAGAGTGCCGTCTCTAATGCTGGCATAGGTGTTACGGTCGCTGATGTTGCAGCCGCCGTCAAAGTTCCTCCAGCTGTCGTCGGTTGTGACGCGTAATGGCGTGTGGTATCCGCAAGCGTACTAGTGCGCAAGGCACCACTATTGGCAACCATCATTTGCGCACCTGAAAATTTGTTGCCACGCAATGCAGTACCACTGACCACGGATGCTATCGGTGTTGGCGGCGTTGTCACGGTCGGCGTTGAGTTGCTTCTGCCGAACACTGACTTAATTTCGCCACGCATGAAATTATTCTCCTCCGTTTGCAAGAAGAAATTGCGTTTTAGATCATACGAACGGCTGTTGCCAGTTTCTGACACATCCGCCATCGTCGACGATTTCAATTCATTACCGTCCTTCGAACTGTTCGTACTCGATGCCGTGCTGGAGTGATCTTCCTCGCTATTGACTTCCGGAATAGTGGTCGACATAATATTTGTGCGTTGCACGGTGCTGGCTATGCCACTACCAGTGGCGCTCTTCAGTTTGGGTGCGAAGCTCTTAGAAGGCGAGCCGAACTGGCCTTGACGCAGCATTCGACGATTGGCGAAGGTTTTAGGCGAACCGCTTAAGTCGAGCAACTTCATGCTACTGTTCAGCGCTTGCGTGCCGCTGACAGTTAGCGGTTTATTACCCGGCGCCGTCTCAGTTGACGTAACATTCACAGGACTGGTCTTTTTCAACAACTCAACTGCGGAAAGTTTTCGTTGCACGGGACTTGTTTTGGCCGATTTGGCTAGCAGTAGTTTTTTGAAGTCCATCAGGCTTGTCTTACTATGCCCAATACGATCCGAGCAGGTGTTGTAGCGTTCCGGTGAGTTATCATCGGCCCAATTGGCGTTGCGACTAAGTGGCTGTCGGCAGGGCGAATTATTTAAGTTCGCCTGTGCAGCTTCATCTTCTCGCGAAGGCGTAGAAGTTTGGAATCCACTTCGATTACGTGGCACGATCGGTGATAGATTGCTGGCTACATTTATTCCACTTTGAGCTGCGGACGCTGCTGCGCGTGCCAAACGTTCTGAACGTTTTATGGGCGTGGCATACAGATCGTCGCGACAGGTTACGCTACTGGGCGGTGGCTTTTGTTGCCTACGATTCTGTAACGTCCAGTAGATGGGCGTATTCCGTTGAAAGGGTGAAACCTCCACCTGTGACTGTGCTTCCGATTCAACTGGTGGTTGTGGCAGTGGTTGTTGCTGATCTCTCGTTCTATATAAACGTTGATAGCCTGCGGAAAATATAAAAAAAGAAAAGGCAAATGCGTAAAGTTAAAATGTACTGGTAAGGGTTAAATAAAAGGATGGATATGCGAGTACACCAGGGTTGAAATTTATTGGAATGCATTAGTAAGTAATTTGAAATTTTAGTAATTTTAATAATATGTACAGTTATATAAGAATGAAATAGATTCGGAACTAAGGATCTACTAAATCAAGCAGCGAACAAAGCACCAAATAAAATTATAAAGTGTACTTACCGCAATTGATCTTGGGAAATAAGGTCCTAGTAGTTTTATGCGGGGTTCAAAGGTGCGCTTAACCTATGCATGCGTTCGTGTTTTTGTGTTTATTTACATGTTGAATGCTTTGGGCAACCAAACAATGGAACCATCAAACGTAACATGTCCCAACCTAATACCTTATACGAACGAACATACTCGTTCATACACGTATTTAGTATCGGCATCCTAGTCTAACATTAGGTAAAGGAGGTTATACAGCGTTGAAATTAACAGCTACTGGGCTCAGTTACCGTAACTGCTCAAATATTCCTCGATCACAGAATAAATGAATTGGGTTCCAATGAATTTGCTTATTAACGCTTCGAATTTGGAGTTCAGTTTTAGGATTCCAGTCGCTGTAGAAAATTTCTAACAGCAAAAGCTTCCTGTAAACTTCCTCTAAATGAGACAGATAATTTGAGTCCAATTATGACTTCGTCGTAGATAAGCAACTTCTTATCACCTGGATATAAATAAGCAGATGGAATCCATCCCCCAATCTTTTCGACGCGGTGGTGTAGAGGTCGTTGGCTATTACCACCTACGCGGAAAAAATGGTATGCCGAAGAGTGCAAAAAGTTATTCTGCAGCCAATAGCTACATGAGCGACACTTGAGCGATACCGCGTTAAGAGGCAGAAGGAGAGACTTCTATTCGTCAGAAGGATAGGATATGGAGGCGAGACGCAATTTGGTCTTATCTACCAATTATCCAATTACCGCGGGATAAGCCTTTTTAATCTCGGGATTAAGGTCCTATCGACGATACAGTGCAAACGATTGAAGTCCTTTCCGATAGCCACATGAACCCAGCACGTCTGAATCAAGGCAAAATTTCATTTTTCAACGGTTTTTTTTTTGGTATCTCGAAATCTGAAGGAACGGAAAGTTTTTTACTATTAAACGTGTTTGCTCCTTGGTCAGTCGAAGTTATTTTTGGGGGTAATTTAGAGCTAATGTGAAGGTTGAATAAAAAAAATTAGTGCTCTCTCAGAATCTGGGGCGAACAAAATTACATCTGCTGGTCCAGAGGATTTCACTGGTAGAAAGTAAGTTTCCATTTCATTTTGTGATTTTGTGATATGCAATACAACGATTGTAGTGCCAAATAAACAGAAGATATTTTTTTTTTTAATTTGCGTTTCAGATCGAGGCAACGTACCAGCAGCCACTTGTGAAAGTTTTTACAGGGTCAGCGTAGCTGGTGCGGACATTTTATAAGACCCCAAAATTATATATCACTTAGCCTAAACCCCAATTCGCTACCAGTCATGAAGTACATGTTTACATAGATATATGTAAATATATAAGACATTCTTCGTCCAATTAGTTTAGGTAAAAATATTGGATTTCAAACGGAATTTTAAAAATGTATGATGATTGATAACGAATACAACGACCTCAAAAACATCCCAGTAAAAAATTTCAAGTGAATGTTAAAATTTTTTCAAACTTTCTTCGCCATATTGGATCGGCTTATTGGCTCTCGAAAACGTCGCTGGTGATTTAAAAGTAAAAATTCTGACTACGTTTTAAAGAATATAACAGATTTTTTAACTGAGCCAAGTTTGGAGAGCGGGGGCTTCAGTTGACGGAGAATGCCTCATATGTATGTATGTGCGTATAAATAACACCGCTTACCAAAATTGAGTTTGTAATGCCATTGCACCACTTCCCACCATTGTAAATCCACCAAATGAGAGTAATACAAAAAAATTACATACTAAAATTATGATGAAAAGAAATTGTGCACTTTTTTTTATTAAAAACAGAAAACGTTGGCAAGTGAAACAGCTTAAATAGATTTGAACAAATATTTTAATATGCGAATATAAATACTTACGTATTTTAAGAAATGTCTACTAATAACTATAAAAACTGAACGCTTTTTAGCGCTAACATGTGATTTTAACCATGGATTTTGGGGCTTAAAACTAGTGAACAAGAAAAAGCTTACATACTCGTAGTTGTACTAAGTTTGTTAGCTTGGATTTATGCTTATGCATGAAACAAATAAGATAGGTTACAACAACACACACACACANTATGTAAATATATGAGACATTCTTCGTCCAATTAGTTTAGGTAAAAATATTGGATTTCAAACGGAATTTTAAAAATGTATGATGATTAATAACGAATACAACGACCTCAAAAACATCCCAGTAAAAAATTTCAAGTGAATGTTAAAATTTTTTCAAACTTTCTTCGCCATATTGGATCGGCTTATTGGCTCTCGAAAACGCCGCTGGTGATTTAAAAGTAAAAATTCTGACTACGTTTTAAAGAATATAACAGATTTTTTAACTGAGCCAAGTTTGGAGAGCGGGGGCTTCAGTTGACGGAGAATGCCTCATATGTATGTATGTGCGTATAAATAACACCGCTTACCAAAATTGAGTTTGTAATGCCATTGCACCACTTCCCACCATTGTAAATCCACCAAATGAGAGTAATACAAAAAAATTACATACTAAAATTATGATGAAAAGAAATTGTGCACTTTTTTTTATTAAAAACAGAAAACGTTGGCAAGTGAAACAGCTTAAATAGATTTGAACAAATATTTTAATATGCGAATATAAATACTTACGTATTTTAAGAAATGTCTACTAATAACTATAAAAACTGAACGCTTTTTAGCGCTAACATGTGATTTTAACCATGGATTTTGGGGCTTAAAACTAGTGAACAAGAAAAAGCTTACATACTCGTAGTTGTACTAAGTTTGTTAGCTTGGATTTATGCTTATGCATGAAACAAATAAGATAGGTTACAACAACACACACACACATATATATTAATAGCTCAACAAATACATAGATGTAAAACGTGATAATTTCTAAGTGGGATAGGCACTAATTTTTCAAGCTATACTAGCAATGCGGGTTAGAACAAAGTTTTCGGTTTAGGCAAATTAGTAAACAAATTTTTTGTACGGAAATGTGAGAAAAGCCAGGTAGCAAAAAAACCAACTACTACCACACACACAATTGGATGCATAATGAAGTAATAGAAGCCTTTTGCACAATATTTTTCGTATGGAATTAGAAGCAACCTGTTTTAAATAAATTTGTATGCATGTACATTAGGGTGGCTCACCACTAAAAGGTGCGTCTTTTTCGAGCGGTATCATAAAAAGTATTATACTTTAAGGCTTCCACCAAAATATTTGGAAAAAATATTAAGGTTTATCTACATGAGCTGGACCGATTTGAAATATCATTATTATTATTCCGTTTTTTAAATTTCAAATATTTAATGCAGACCTTTTAAGCTTAAACTCTGCTATCATCTGAGGTGATTTATGGTAAAAAAATATTATAAAAAACTATTTTTATTTATGAAAAACTCGATTTTTGGCAGTATTTTCAAGTCGGTTTCGGTCACGTAAATTTTAATATTTTTTTCGAAATATTTTGGCAAAAGTCATAAAACATAATAAATTTTAAAATTCCGATGGAAAAACCGTACAGGTTTCTTTTTATATGGAGAGTGGTGCACCCTAGTGTAAATATATATGTACATACATATGTATGTATGTATGAAGACGAACGTAACACCTGAAGAGCCTTTAATTTTAAGATTAGCACTTGAAAAATTAGTGCCCATTATATAAATTCTTATAGTTTATTGTTAGTTTTGTGTAACATACAGTTCCTTCTTTTTTCTTACATTTTCAATGCAAACATGTGTATGTACCTAGACTTACATAGGTCAAGATTATTCGTAATTCTTTAAAAATGCTTAATTCTCATAACAAATAGTGCAAAAAACTTTACGTAATGGTTATAGGTGTTTCGTTATGCAATTATAATTTCCTTGAAATGTGTAAATGCTTTGTTATTTGCAGGTGCAGATGAATAAAAAAACAAAAATTATGATAAATAATGTATGTATATAGAATGCTTGCTAATATTTGGATGCATTTAATTATTATTTTTTCAATATTATTGTTTTAGTGACACATTGCAGTTAATATGTACGTATTTATGTATATACAAATGTTCAATTACATATTTACATATATTTGTAGTATGTGAGTAACATAAATAATTAGTGCATAATTGTAATTATGTGAGTATGCAAGTATGTATGTATGTACACTAGGCATATGACTTTTTTCTCAAATTAAATATACCCATGTAAGAGGAGAGAATGAATGACGAATGATGAAAAACCAACAAAAGTAACGTTTTTGTTAAAATATGGTAATATAAATAATAAAAATAAAAATCCAAACAAAAAACAGAAAACGTACTAAAACCCAAGTCTGCTCTGACTTGTCCTCGAACTCGGCTCCTACCGAATGGTAATATACAACACTACCAATTCGGCTAATATTAGAATAGTACGGCCTACCAATACTATTCTAATACATATTTAATAATATACATTAATTCTAATTTAGTATTTAAAAGAAATTAAGAAGTTATTTTAAATTAATTCAAGAAGACATTTTAAAAAAATTAGAAAGTGTTTGCTTTTAAATGTTGCAATCAATCAAGCAAAAAGAATCAGTCAGACATTATCTACGAAATTAGATTTTTAAACGATATTCTTACACGTACGGTGACCTCTTTGCTAGTAAATTGTCCAGGTAATTTTTTTATTTTATGCGGAACGCAAAATGTTCTGTATTTCTTTTATGGCCGTTTTCACCAACTCTGGTTAACACTAATTCCCAGTTAAACATCTTTGCCGACGTTACCGCCACTATGTCATATG